ATTAAATTCTTTATACAACATCGAAACTATTTACTTTTTTAATGAGAAAGTAAATGAAGATATCGATTAATATTTTTAAATAAATCAATAAAATATGGCTGAAAATATATGCGAGTAATGAATTAAATACGCACATATGTATTAATCGATAAACATATTGATATCGTCGAATATGTCGCCAAATATATCGATAATAATGTTGATTAAGATTTCGGAAACATTCAATCAATACATTAGATTTATCGTTAATCATCCATGCATATCGATAAATGACTCTAAATATTTCGATAAATGGACCGATAAAAATATTTTTAGGTGGTTGTCAATAATGCGCACAACTAAGTGACTCTTAAGATCCCTATAAAGTCTTTGCGTATCTACTTCTTGCTCAATAAGTAAAAAAATAAGTACTGTATATATTTGCTTTTAATAATCTTTTACCTTCTCTAATAAATTTGAAATTACCTTAACATTTTGACAATATTTTTTCTTTCCTTCTTCTATTTTCAGACAAAGGCGTACTCATGGCACCATCGCCACCCAAAGATGCACCCGGCGAAATGGGTAAACCGGTAGTATTACCCACCAATATGACAGAAGAAATGAAGAAAGCTGTCGATGATGGTTGGGCGAAAAATGCCTTCAATCAATATGTATCCGATATGATATCGGTGCATCGAACATTGCCAGATACGCGCGATGCGTGGTAAGTGAAAACGAAAAAAATTTTATTTTTCAATTCGCATTACAATAACATACCATTACCGACCATTATCTAATCCTTATTCATATTATTACCGTGGCGGTTATCATTACCCTTAACATTACCAAGTATTACCAATACCATTATCATTACGATTGCAAGTACCATTACTAACAAAAAAATACCTTACCATTATTGTTACCGTTTCCGTTACAATTACCTACAACTACTTGAGGACCATTACCAATGCCATTATCCTCGCTATTACCATTACTCCTACTGTCACCATTTCCGCCACCATCACATTAACACTACATTAGTATTTCCATTTTCATTGCCAGTATTATTTATATTCCAACTAACATTGCCATTACCATTACAATTACCATTACTATTACAATTACCACTACCCTAAGCATTGCCATTTTCATTGTCAATAACATTACTATTACAATTAGAATTACCATTACCATTGCCATCAAGTTGAAGTCAATCACAAAGATACAAAAATTTGTTCAGTGCCTCAAAACTAATTCGCATCACTGTCACGTGCCTTCGAACACTTGTTCGTGCACGCGATCCTGCCCCTGCCAGCTGCCAAATTCCTGCTTCTTCAACCACACCACATACTAAAAAAAAACTTAAATAAATAAAAATAAACAACAACGATTTATTTAATACATATACTTAATATCTACATAATCTATTTTTATCATTGCACAGGTGCAAGGAACCCGGCCGCTATCTAAAAAATCTTCCCGCCACCGATGTCATNCGTCACCATTTCCGCCACCAGCACTACTACCACTACCATTAACACTACATTAGTATTTTCATTTTCTTTGCCAGTATTATTTATATTCCAACTAACATTACCATTACCATTACAATTACCATTACTATTACAATTACCACTACCCTAAGCATTGCCATTTTCATTGTCAAAAACATTACTATTACAATTAAAATTACCATTACCATTGCCATCCAGTTGAAGTCAATCACAAAGATACAAAAATTTTTTCAGTGCCTCAAAACTAATTCGCATCACTGTCACGTGCCTTCGAACAATTGTTCGTGCACGCGATCCTGCCCCTGCCAGCTGCCAAATTCCTGCTTCTTCAACCACACCACATACTAAAAAAAAACTTAAATAAATAAAAATAAACAACAACGATTTATTTAATACATATACTTAATATCTACATAATCTATTTTTATCATTGCACAGGTGCAAGGAACCCGGCCGCTATCTAAAAAATCTTCCCGCCACCGATGTCATCATTTGCTTCCACAATGAGGCGTGGTCGGTGCTGTTGCGAACAGTGCACTCGGTGTTGGATCGTTCGCCGCCAGAGTTAATTAACAAAGTCATACTGGTCGACGACTTCTCCGATATGCGTAAGTTGCGTGCGAACAATTGGCAAATGCATGTATTTCTGTTCGCATTGGTATGCTGCCGCGCATGCGCGTGTATGCTTTGCATTTTAATGCAGCGTTTGTATGCGCGGTGGCTACCAAGCAATTTCCAACATAATTATAAGTTTTTCTTCCATTTATGGTATTTTTCTTTTCCGTTTTACATTTTTGCCGCTCTCTTAATGTTTCATCATATCCATTGCAGCACATACCAAACAACAGCTGGACGATTATTTTGGCGCCTATCCAAAGGTGCAGATTTTGCGCGCCCCCAAACGTGAAGGTCTGATACGAGCGCGTCTATTGGGCGCACGTCATGCCACAGCGCCGGTGTTGACGTACCTGGATTCGCACTGCGAGTGCACCGAAGGTGAGTGGGAGTGTGAGTTATTGCTGTGTGTGGGGGGTGGACGAGTTTTACACAAGCATACATACATATACATACATGCATGCTTAAAGAAGTGTAGCAAATTTGAAAAATATTCGCCACAAAAATGCTATTTGCATTTCATGCATTTGCCACTTTGCTTCATTTAATGGTATNCTTTTCCGTTTTACATTTTTGCCGCTCTTTAATGTTTCATCATATCCATTGCAGCACATACCAAACAACAGCTGGACGATTATTTTGCCGCCTATCCAAAGGTGCAGATTTTGCGCGCCCCCAAACGTGAAGGTCTGATACGAGCGCGTCTGTTGGGCGCACGTCATGCCACAGCGCCGGTGTTGACGTACCTGGATTCGCACTGCGAGTGCACCGAAGGTGAGTGGGAGTGTGAGTGATTGGTTTGTGGGGGGGGGGACGAGTTTTACACAAGCATACATACATATACATACATGCATGCTTAAAGAAGTGTAACAATTTTGAAAAATATTCGCAAAAATGCTATTTGCATTTCATGCATTTGCCACTTTGCTTCATTTAATGGTATTTTTCATAAGCAAAATTCAAATAAACATTTAAATTTCAAATCTAAATTCATTTATTTGATTTTAATCACTTTTTTGTAACCGCAAATCTGCAAACCATCGCGCCCCATTTGAGGCCGCAACACTAAATGCCATAGCAGACTACCGGCAATATTGCTACCCAGCGCCAATCAGCACTAAAGTTTGGGTTAACCAATTCAATTTGTGCATTGCCTTTTTTTAAGTTTTTTTTTTAAATTTCACGCCACAAGCCAACTTCAAAAAGATTTGCAATATCTCTAATTAGAATTCCATTTAAAAAAGAACTTCGTACTTAATTGAAACGCAATTATATGCTTCAAAATTTTTGAGTCATTTATGTGTGTATATTTAATATGGTTATTGACCATTGAATTCTTTGTGGCGCGATTATCAACTCACCCATGAACTCGTCCACGAATAATACGCTAGCGTGCAGCTCAATTGTATTTAAAATTTATTTTGATTTAAATTTAGTGGGAATAGAATCATAAAGCAGATTCCAATAGCGCCCGGCGAGTAAGCTCTGGAGCAGCCGATTGAAGCAGTTATTAGCTTGGGGGGTTTATGTAAAGTCATTCGTAACAACCAAGAATATCTGTAGGGGTATTCTCTGAGTCTTGCAAAGCCCTTGCACGGTGCACAGATTGCAAGGTAAAAACCGGTTTTCGTATGGGACAGCTTTGCAAACCGTGCAATCCGTGCACCGTGCAAGGGCTTTGCAAGACTCAGAGAATACCCCTAGTGTTTTATTTAGAGTATTCAGCATTATTGTATTTGTAATTGTGGATTTAATTTAGCATAACTCAAAGAAAAGTCACATGCAATTCACTGACGTATAGATACAAATTCTTTCAATAATGAGTCAACATTAACATCCAGATTGCGATGAATATTGATAGCCCATTGTGTGCTCTTTCTCTGCGCATGCGTGCACATGCATGATGATATTCATTCCATGATGATATTCAGACCACGTAAGGAAAAATTTCTGTAGAAAAAACGGAGATCTAAAATTTTGCTCATTGTTAATGAATAACAAAGCCCAACAAAAAAAAAATAAAAAATTTGGTACGGAAAATCGACCCGTTCTGCAATAGAGTCGGACTAGAGAATGTAAGAAAAAATACTTCTTTAACTAAGATACAATAAACACACCTTTTCTTAATATTTCTGATTATACGAATATTACTGAGCGCCCATATTAGGTTTTTGTTTTATTTTCAAATAGTGTGACGATTAAACTGTTGTTATAAGTTGCAATATTCGTTTACCCAAAACTGTAGATACGTGGTGAACGCAAAAGCGGGATGATTTGGTAAAGCTGTTTTTGATAGATTTGCGGTGATTACGAAACCGTAAGCATAAAGTTTCCATCAGCTCTAGATTTTGAAAAAAAATGAGGTCGAAGTGTCGAAAAATATTTTAGAAGCTCGAGCAAAGAAACAAAACGAAAGCTTATATTCTATAGGACCTATCTGCAATCTTCACAAAAATTACTTTGTGATGTTAGAACCCATCTGGGACCTACCTGTCATTACTGATGTTAATTCTGGCTTTGAAATTTAATGGAAAATTCTTCTGTCAACCGTTATCCAAGATCAGCATTAATATCACCGACCACAGTTAAGACTTATGTAGGTGGATTTTTATATCGGGATCAAATTTTTGTGAAGAGTGCAGATAGAGGGTAGTGAATACAAGCCCTCGGAAAAGTGATAGAACCTTCCTTTCTTAAATTAAAGCTATAACTCTCGACTACTATCTTAAATATGTATTTGAAATTTTAAGATATTTTTTACCATTATTATCTTAAACTAAATTATGGCAAATTTTTAAGTATATTTCCCTCCAACAGGGGGCATTAAACTCGCAAACCGCCTCACCAAAATCGCCCCCCGCCCCCTCCTCTTCCCTTGAGGCCGGCCTGCACGAGAGGAATATAAGGGGTCTTATTGCAATAGAAAAATTTATAAGAAAAATAATTGATTTTTTGGAAGGAAAGTATCTAATCCATTTTCTTTTAAGAAAAATCCGAATTTTAGTAGGAGGTGTAATCGATTTTAGGAAAAGTACTAAATTGTTCCAAAACCGTCAGTTGTAGATAATTTTTGTACTAAATAAATTTTTGTCAAAAATAATGGATTTAAAAAAAATAGTTCATTCCATCAGTTGTAGACAATTTTTGTATTAAATAAATTTTTGTAAAAAATAATAGGTAAAAAAAAAATAGTTCATTTTTAATAAGACTAAATTTTTGTATGTAATGAAAATATTCGATTTCAATACACGACAAAAATCAGTTTTTTAAGTCATTTTTTTGTAAGAAAAATAATCGATTTAAAAAAATTGTCCATGCTCAATAAAAACTCTATAAGAAAAATAATACATTTTTCATGAAAAATCTGGTTTTGAAAAGATATTTTCCACAACAATTTGAGTCCTTTTGTAAGAATAATGATCGACTCAAAAAAATAGTCGTTGATTAATAAAAGCACCAATTGGTAAGTAAAAATTCGACTCAGATTCTATGTTTATTTTTATTTTTTTGTAGGAGAGATAATCGATTTTTCAAGAAAAAATCTTAATCTGAACCAATTTTTTTCCTAATTTCCGATAAGTTTTTCCTTTTTGAAGGCCATATAAAAATCTATTCTAATAGTCGTTTGTTTTGAACGATCGATTTAAATAGTAGTCATTGCTAAAAAATAAAAATTTGTTAAGGAAAGTAATCGATTTTCAAAAAGCAATTCTGGTTCTAAATTGATATTTTCCGAAATAAACGGTAATTTTTACAAAATTAATCAATTGAAAAAAATGGTCGATGCTCAATAAAAACACTAAATTTTTTTCAGGCAAAATAATCAAAGAAAGAAAGAAGAAAGAAGCAAAGGAAAGAAATCATCTTCTGAATCGATATTTTTCAAAACAATCTTCTTCTTCTTTATTGGCGCTGTAACCACCTAATCAAATTTCACCAATTCCTAAACAGCACGCCAGTCGTTTCTCGTCTGTGCCAACTGACGCCAATTGTAAATTCCAAATGAAGCCAAGTTGTTCTTCACCTGGTCTTTCCATAGCTGTGGGGGCCCCTCTCTTCCTCTGTTACCACCATCGCGACCCGCGTTGAATACTTTCAGAGCTGGAGCGTTTCTATCCACTCAGAAGGATATGGCATTCGCTTTGTCCTCCTTCACCACCAGACCCATTCGCTTTGCTTATCTATCTAATCCCGAGAAGGTAGAAACAATCGGTCATCCGCTATTTTGTAGAAAGGATAATTTTGCACGCAAACTTTTTTTAAATGAAGGCTCTTTGGACCAAAAGCGGATTTGTGCCCCATTCGATATTTTTTACAAAAAAATCGGTTATCGATTCCAGTGCTGTTCTCTATTTGTTCTTTCTACGCTCCTAGGGCGTTCTCTGATGGTGCTTATTCCAATTTCTAATAAGGGTTTGGGGCCTATTGGTATTGTTAGTAAGCATGTCTGGCTCTTCGTTGGTTTCTATGCCTCTATGCCCCTATGGCCCAGATCCCAGGCACAAAAGACCCTATCGTTTGTCGCCAAGGCATTTAGTCTAGGAACTCAAGAACCATAACGATTTAAATTGATGGAGCTCCGCTTGGAATACTTGGGAGTTTACCCACAGGTACTAAGACCTTTGATCTGACCCTAAACATGCTGGCCCCCAAATTTGGTATTTTTGCGGCGCCTGTATTCCAAATTAGAGGGTGCAACGGGGAGTATTTGATGGTAATAGTGATTCAGCTTTCCTTGTTCTCTAGTTCAATTTTGGAGTTCTTAGCAAAGTAAATAGTTCTGTTGATCTCATCCACTTGGTATCGGATCAGGGGTATCGCAGACCATATTGTGTGGTGATGCCACGTTTTCTTTTCTGCAACCCTTTCTGGTGAAGTTCGCTGTTGAAAATGCCCATAAGTTGAGAACGACTAAAGGAAGAAAATAAACAGCTGCTCCAGGATACCATCTGGAACTGCCTTTAAGCAAGTTAACTGGTTTAAACACATGTGGAGTACCGCGTTGCCTCTGTCTTTAAGTTGCCGAACGAAACTCAAACCAAAAATCTAGATCCAAGGTATCCAATCTAGTGCACAGCCTCGTTAAAATTATAGCGGCTTGCATTCGATTTCGAACGAATAAATATACCATCCATCAACGTGTGTCATTTATTCGATTTTCAATAATATTTTTCACATACTCAAGTTGCATACTGTATACCGAGTTCTAAAAGTACTACATACAACATACGAGTACATTTATACATAAGTATGTGCGAAGTATGCTATAAACTTTTGATTATTTTGCTGAATTATCTTGCGAAACTTCAGCTTTGCTGTGATTTATGCATAGCAATAGAAACTTTGCTAAGTAAGCAAAAAAAAATGTGAAATGTGATTGCAACGGAAAAATAAAATAAATTTCAATAACTTCCGTAGATAGAAGACCGAGCATTGGAAAATTACGGAAATAAAATTTACAACCCACCTCGTATGTAGAGCAAAACAATCTCTTCTAGGATTATGACTTAAAATGATAAACTTAAAATTCTTTTACCAGTTGGAGAGCGAAAAAGGGGGATACAATTTCAATTTTTACTTTTCAATGATTGATGACCAGCAGCAGCAAGGAAACAAAAGTGTATGCGCATGCTTTATACAACCACAGCAGAGGCAGCTTAAAACTTGATAAGCTGCAGGATATGCCATCGTGTGTGGCAGCGTGTAATATGGATGCGCGCGGTTGAGTAATTTATTATGTAAGGACCCTACGCTCGTTGCTTTCTGCAGCGGTCACTTGCTGTGAAGCAGTGTTGATTTTGGTAAAGAAATTAATGTACCTAACGAGGTACAGAATTTGTACGCAAAACACTGGTTATGTACCTAAATTAAGGACTTATTTAGTTCAATTCGAAATAAGTTCAAATATCACAAAAATGTAGGAAATTAAGAATTTATTAAGGATATTCGCCTTACAAAAGGCTTAGTTGGAACTTTCGTTTTTATATGACTGTTACAGGGCCGCTCTGGCTAATTTTGCACGAAGGTCTTACAAAAAATGGTGCGTTGCTCTTAATATTTAGAATGTTTTTCAAGCTAAAATTTTTTTATTATTTTTTATAAAAATATAATTCATACTGGAACAAATTCCATATAAAACATACTTTCAAACTTTTTACTTTATAAGTAAGCAGCTAAAAAATCACATTGTTTTTTAATATTTTATTTGACGGCATTTTGCACTTTTTTCCATATAAACATGCGAGTATGCGCAAAACCGTTAGCGCGAAAAGTTTAAAAATGAACGCCAGTTTTCCTTAATTGCCCTATTTATATTAAAAAAAGTTTAAAAGCCCTCAACAAAAAAAATATTAAAAATCAATGCAGGATTTTAGCCTCTCAATTTGCACTTATTTCACAAAATTTGTTGTATATGGTTTTTGTTAAAGTATAAACCACATGTATATATATATATATATATTATAAAAAAGTAACAAAAAAATTTTAACGTGAAAAATATTGTAAATATTATAACCACAACATCATTCATCCACTTTTAACCGCCAGTGTATATATGTAAACATATATCATTTTGCTCGCGCTGCAAAGCATTGGCGTGCTATTCGAGAGATCCGGATTCGAATCCCCGGTCTGCGAAATTTTTTTCTCTTTCAATAAATTTTTATTTTTTTTTATTTAGTTTCCTTTTAATGCTTAGATTTTATTCTGTTAGAAAATAAAATTAGTTTCTTAAAAAAAATTCTTTTTAAAACAATAAAATCTAAAAATTAAATTTAACTTATTTGATGTATCTTTTTCTTTTTATAATAAATTTTTTTTCTTTTTAGATAAAATTTTTAGATTTTATTGTTTAAAAAAAATTTATTTTTGGAATTTTATTTTCAGATTTTATTTTTTGGTAAACTAAAAATGAGGAGGTGTCTGATTTTAAGGCTTATATTTTTTTTAGTTTCATTTAATTTTTAGAACCTTTTTTTGTCTTTTTTATAAATTTTGTTTTCTTTTTGAACATAATTTTAGTTTAGATTTTAGATTTTATTGTTTTAAAAATAAAACAATTTTCTAGAAACTGATTTTATTTATTGTTTTATTTTTTTTAGATTCTATTGTTTTAAAAAAAAATATTTTTTAGTTTCACTTAATTTTTAGAAACTTATTTTGCTTTAATTTAATGTTTTTTTCTTTTTAAACTCAATTTAATTTGTAGATTTTATTATTTTAAAAAGGTAACAATTTTTTAGAAACTTATTTTATTACTTTGTTTTTTTAGTTTTTTATTTAGTATTTAGATTTTATTGTTTTAAAAAGAAAAATATATTTTCTTAGTTTCCTTTAATCTTTAGAAACATTTTTTTTCTTTTTTTAATTAATTTTTTTCTTTTTAAATATTTGGAAAAGGGGCTTATCATATGATCGTTTGTGCGGTTGTGGCTTATGTCCTCCAAAAAACTACAAAAAATGCCATACCGCGTTTTGACAAAATCTAAGTTTTGGCCAATTTCTTTACAGTCGTACGTCTTTGAAGAGGAATATTTCACGAAGGCCCGTTAATCATTTATTTCGGCAGCTGAACGTGTCTTTGGCGTTCAGGTTTAAGCTAAGAATCTAGCTCTTAAGAAAAATCACAAGAAATATATTTCATTATCTTTTGTTGCTTGAGAAAGCACTTTGCTTTTTCTGTAAATTTTCTTGAAGAAATAAATATACGATCATTTTTTTCTTGAAAGCTGCAAATTGATTTAAGAAATTTTAATAGAAACAAGTAATTTTTAGCAAAAAAAAACCGACTTCAACTCCCATATAAAAAAAAATATATGTATATATATATATCTCAAGATCCACTGATCGGATCTCAACCAGATTAGTATGGGACCACCTCTGAGTCACTACCTTTCCGATGCAAAAAGAATTATCGATTAACATACATAAAAAAAAAATAAAATAAAAAAATATTCCGACGAACTGATAACCTCCTTCTTTTTTGGAAGTCGGTTAAAAAAATATTTATTTCTCATTTCTTGTGCGCCATTTCATATGAATTTTCTAGAGAGCTCAAAACAGCCCTTTAGCTAGTTTAGGTCGCAACGTTACTGTCGATGTGACTCAGTTAAATTTTGTTTTCTTTTTTGTTCTTTAAATTGCAGCTTTTACTAAGCATAAGTATTAATATACTACATAAATTACATTAATTTATTTTTCTTTTTGAAATCATACCTAATTTAAAGCGGTTGTACTTGATGTACCTTCTAACTGAAATATGGCCGAAGAACCTACAAAATCAACACTGGACTGAAGTGAAAAGCATTTGATTTGTTTCCATTTTTCTTTTTCAAGCACATGTTAGTTGTTGGTTTTTCGGGATAGCGGTTAGCTCCTTAGTCGTCAATAGCTTTGATGTTTTTTGGTTAAATATTGTTTGCTATTTTTTATTTATTTTTCATCTATGTATTTTTAACTTTTCTCCCACTGCTAAGTAATGGCATTTCCTATTTTGTGCTCATTCGCTTTGCTACTAAGTGAGTTTCTTTATGGCATTCGTCACTTCCCATCTTCTACTTAGTTTTCCCTCAAATTTTGTTAAATTTATTATATTACGTCTTATTTTATTTTGCGCACTACACTCTGCTTACGGTCATCTCTTTGGTTAGTTCGCGCGGTTCAAAAGCCGCATAATGACGGTAGAGCATAAAGCTTTCGCAAAAAAAGGAAATGTTCATGCATTTCACCCTGTGTACCCAAAACAATTTCACATAAACAATATCAGTGAAACATAGTTGCAATAACAATAAATTTTCATTATTTTTTCTATGGAATTTTTTCTCCCAACCCCTCATTCGTACTGAAAGCTTTAAATATTTCTCGTAGTTATTTGTATTGGGGTTACGTGTATCAATACCTTTTATGTTACCAAGCACAAATTTTAATAAATCGAATACTTTGTTTCATTTGTTCATTTTTTGTACTTATTTTTATTTCAATTTCTACTTTCTCTCCTTCCACATAGGTTGGCTTGAACCCCTGCTCGATCGTATCGCTCGCAATAGCACCACCGTCGTTTGTCCGGTCATCGACGTTATTGATGATACAACATTGGAATTCCATTTCCACGATTCGGGCCTAGTGAATGTGGGTGGTTTTGATTGGAATTTGCAATTTAATTGGCATGGAGTGCCGGAACGTGAAAAAGGTCGACGAGAGGTGAGTGGTAAATGAATGATTACGTTTAAAAATAGGATGATTGCATATACAAAAAAAAAGTAAATACTTGAAAAGTAAGAAAATTCGGTGAACATTGCATTAGCTTATACTACGAACATGAAATTTTGTGTATGATACCAGTAGTGGGATTCGGAAAATCAATACCGCTAGTTTTTATAGCCCAAAATCTAAAAAAAAATAGCGCGCCTAACAACATCCCACAACTAGTTACATCCCAGATTTGGTTGATTACACACTGTATCTGTTAGTTCATAACTGCGTAATCTTTCTGGTCGCATTTTTTACCCTTTCTTGAAAGATATAAGCCAAAATGAAATTTTGGGGAAAAGTTTTAGCCCAGTTTTAGGCTCAGTGCCTATTCTATCAGTGATGGGTTCGCCTGCTTCGTAAACGAGCAAATTAATCGCCTTAAGTTATGCCACATTAGCCCTTAAGCAATTTTTCTTACTTACATATTATTATTTTATTACATCGTGTTTCTATGCGACATTCACCGTCGTGATTGCTGAAATGCTCTAATCAGGCTCTTTACTCTCCTTTCCCTTCGAGCTACAACTTTTCGCCAGATACCATTCTCATAGACTCATGTCAGGTGATTTTCCGGGCGTGCCACAATAAAACAAAACGCAGCTAGTAACCTCAGAAACGTTGCATTAATTAGGTCTTACAAGCCCGGTCCCCAATAAGTACTATTCTCTGAACCAGAGGTATCTACCTTAATAGCCTAATACAACTTATGTCGAAAAATGGATTCGAGGTCGATAGAGAATTTGCTTATATGTAACCTCATTTGGTATGGAACGTTTCGGAGAGCTCCTTTCCCATTTATCCCTATTAGGCAACCCCACCCAACCACACATAGACCGAATTTGTCCATAGTGTAACCAGATGAACTCTTCTAAAAAGTTTAGCAGCGGCATAAAGTAATCTGTTGGTCCTGTCAGCAAAAACGCTGTTTCGCTGTGACTATACGTTCTGAGCCCAAGACGACTCAAGGCATGAAGCGAAGGCAATCACACCGATGCCGAATTTACACTGGTCAGACGTTGGCGGTTTACTTTAGTCTTTCGCACAAGACGCTTGAGAAGAGCCCGCACTCTCAAATCAGCGCAAATAAGTTCTTCCGGTGCATATTTTCCAGCATCCAGTTCTCGACTGGCGTTCGTATTCATTGTTGTTCTTGCAGCGTCGATCAGCTAATTTTTCAATCGTTGCCGATAAGTTCAAATAACGGTAGACCCTCCAGCTTCTCTTTCCAGCTGTAATATCCAAACCGTAATTGGACCGGAGTTACGCGGGTCTTTCGAGTCAGCTGACGCTCTTTTTATGCAATGGTTGAAAGTTAAACTACGGTGACAGCACTCAAAGGTGCGAGAGTTGGTGAAGATGGTGATAGTCTCTCTGTGAATATTGGCAATTGACTGTCCATATAGCGTCCTGTTCAGTGGGTGCAACATGTAGTCCTGGATCTGGTCCTTCAGTTCATAAAATTGTCTTTTGACGTGCCTAGATGGAGGACTCGTCTTGTCTTGGTTACACCGCATCAGTTCAGATGGCCGCCATATTTTTTATCACAGGAATTCTTTTTGGACTTAAAACCCTCTGTAAGTTATCTAGCTTTTTGATAGAAAATTTCAACATCTCAAGAAGTTTGTAACTTACATATGTATCTCGAGCTGTACTCTTTTAAATAATACCCTCCTAAACAGCCTAAAGCTTTTCCCCCCGTGCGCGGTATCCTTTGCACCACAGCCTTGAGCCAATCCCAGTTAGCTTGGGAGAGGCATTTCACCACAATGGTTTCATTTTCCGCTTTTGATTTTCCGAGGGCATACCAAGGGCCTCGCCCGACCCTGGCTTCACTTCTACCGTTAGTATTAGGCTAGGGCTTCGCGGCGCCAGAGGTCTGCATGGCTGATACCGACTTCTTCTGTCGCTGTCTTGCATTGTTCGCCGCAACATCAGAATTGGGCAATGCCTCACCAGTAACCGCCACACTATGACCGGAAGAGTCATTGGGGCAAGGATTGGTGAGTGTCGCCGCAGTTTACTTTCTCTTGCACCAGATTTAGATGCCGGTGTATCCACCAAAGTCCCACTGGCTTCTGGGGTAACCTCCGTATACCTGGGCCGCTTACTGGGCGCAGCGAGAGGGTGAGGTCGGCCATTCCGGCCGATTCTTCCTCCTTCACCTACTCTTCTGGGTTTGTGAAAGAGGACCAACTCCGTCCCACATCCCATCCAAGAGATAAGTCCTCTTTCGACTCTAAAGAGGAGAGGATTGGCGTTACCTCCCCCCTCTCCTGTAGGATGCGCTCCTGATCTATGACGCGGAGACTTTGGCAATGGTTGGTGCCACTTGGACTATTATTCAAAAGTTGTGCCATTACCGTTATTTACAGTTTTGTCCCAAACTGCCAGGGTTGGTGGGTATTTCAGGGGATATTTTTCCTATCATCCTCCTACTTCCCGAGACGCACGCATGGCTTTCGAGACACGCACCCAAATGGATTTTAGTCGCCCTTTACGACATGCATGCCTTACTTCGGGTATGATCTCGTGCCTAGCCCGTAGGCCAATTCCTTATCTCACTCGCCTAAACAATTATCTGCTTAGCAGTAGTTTTTTCCAGTATTTACTGTTTGCTCAAACTACAGGACAGTGCATTCCAACATTGCGCAATGAAAATCAGGGTTTCCTAAAAATATGCAAAATCAAATACTAAAATATGCAATTTAATATCAGTGAATCCTGAGTGAGTGTGAGAGGGGAACTAAAAGACTAAGCAAATGTCATAGATTAAAGTTGAGCTTATCAATTTGCATAACTAATACCACTGCAGATTACTTTTGTAGTAGAAAAAGTTAAATTGAAATTCAAATCTCTAACTTGCCTTAACATTGGCGGCACCTGAATAACAGCTTATAGATACATAGTACATAAGCATAAATGCACATATATATCTGCCACGCAAGGCGGATATCTTCGAATGGAAAAAGGAAACTCATATTACAGCAAAAACTACGCAGATATCAAAATGTAGGCATCCGCCAAGGCAAGCTGTCACCTTCCTGAAGTGTTGGCTGGATACAAGGCTTCTTGACTGCTGACTGTAGAGACTGTAATAACCGTTAACACAAGTGTGTATGTGTTTAACATTTATATATTTATATATATAATTATATAACACACACACACACATAGGTAGATCGGATATTAATTTAAATATACATATGTATACACAAGTCTTCCCTCTCATTACCACCCACTTCTCTGCATTACAGGAAGATACTGCCTCTTTTTGTCGTCGAAATACATATATTTAGCAGCGAAGTCGCGTAACGTTCGTTCTTCACCAGCCCCAAACAGTTAGGCTGCCGAGTTAAAAAGGTTGCTTCTTTTGCAATTGGCAATGACAATGTTGTTACGATTCATACAATTTCCATTTCATTGTAAGCACTAAAACGTGACAATTTTACAAGCGTGACAAACATGTAAAAGTTAGCAACACACGCAAAAATAAATATGTAGATGAATACCAACATACTCGTAGTATACATACGGCTGCAGGCGCATATTGAATGTGTTGAAATTTTTATGTATTTATTTAAAGGGTGTTGCTTCAAGGATGCATGGGTATTTTAAATTGAAAAAGGACTATCTAAATGTGTGCTTAAGTGGAGACAGCTATGAAGCAAAATGTGATACTTTGCTGTATAAACTCCACGACAACCGTTGAGAGCTATTTCCAATGAAAATAAATTTTAAATTTTCCTAAAAACCCAGGGCAACTTCTTAAACATTCTGTTCTTGCTCTTATATATGCAGGTATGTAGCTACCACATCTTGCGAATATGAGTCAAATTTGACTGGAAATACCAATTTCATGACCATACCAGCTCCTGCACCACTTATCTGGGCTCAAAACTATCCAGGTGGCCCCAAAGATTAAACAAAAGTCATAAGAGACGTTTAAGTAGGAAAACATTGCGAACGTACGCCATTACGGTATTTCAGAAATCCTCTCAAATTACTTTCCTCTTAAAAGAATAATACTTTGCTCTTGTTGTTCGAAATCTGCCAAAGATTTGATCAGTTATGTACATTTCCACCATTTTTGCTATTTCGTTCGCATAGCATGTTCGCAATTCCCAACCAGCTCATGAAATATCAAACTGAAAGGGCTTACTGCTTGCTCCGTCATAAAGTGTAACTACAATGGAATGATTTCTGTCACTGATGCTGCCGCTGTAATGGCTTCGTGAGCACTTCGATTTAAGTTAACATTTTGTCTACTGAAGGAACGTTAATGAACACTCTAATTTTTGGAATTCTCGACTGGCTTTTTTTACTAGTCATTGTTTTTGTTTTATGCGAATGATTCTTTTATGTTTGACATTTTAATTGCAGTCCAAAAGAGTACTACCGAAATCACTTATACGTCGTTTATTTCCTATTTAAACTCCCGCAAAACCGTCAAAAAGTAATTCTCCTTCCGCCTACCTTCCAACATTTAGCTTTACTAAAAATTAAATTTTTTTCCACTTTTTGCAGACCCTGTTCGGATATTTTGATCGGTTTTGAACTTGAATTCTTCAGTCGTTTGCAACATTCCGTTGAATTTATTCACTACTCTATTCGTTTGTGTCCAAACTTCTTAAGAACAAAGGTATATATCTCCTCTTAAAGAGCAACACCACTCTAGAATTTTGGAAGAATCGATTTTTTTGGCCTTACTTTCGTAGTGGTTTATACAATTTAAACCTTTTTGAGACCGTTAGTGGTGTTACCTTTTAATGAAGACTTTGCTAATAAGGGGGATAGGTGTTGAAATGAAATGGAAAAAGACAAAAGTTGCGTGAGGTATCAACGAAAATCTTTTTTTTTTGAAGGGCGGGCCGTGAATGCCATTTTGGTTGGGATATAACATCGTTTTAACGCCGAGGCTTTTTAGATGGCCCAGATCCGAGTGGTCAAAT